TATTTGCCTTATGTTGTCAATGGTTGGCAATCCTCGCACCATACGGGCTTTACTAAATGCTTTATTAAATTTCAGCGGAAACATCTTGTTATTGGTCATTTTGACATTCCCCAATGTATTGCCTTTTGGATCTTTTATGACGAAATGTACCTCATAGTTCTTTTGTATCAATTGTCCAACACTCAAGAGATTGTGTTTGAGTGCTGGAATGAAGTATACATCACATATCCTTTTTCGACCCATGGTTTGTGTTTACCAGAATATCACCTTTTCCTTGAACAATATGTATCTTCTCATCTCCCGTCCTGACTTCGCTATGCATGGTTTCATCCATGGTTATGAAGATCTCTTTAATCCCCATCATATGGTTACTGCAGGCACTATCAACATACCAAATTTCATTATTTACTAATGGTTGAGAGTCACAAGTCATGAACATGGTCTCAGTCTCCTTAATTTTCCTCTCATGCATGAAGGCCGACTCATTATTCTCTTCACCGTATGACCGAACCTTTGACAATGATTACATTGTATTTGAGACAACGATTTTCCTCTTCCTCTTCCTCTTCCTCTTCCTTTCGAAGATGATTCTCCTTGGACCACTTGGCCTTGTTTGCCATTCGAACCCCTTTACCAAATCCCTTGTACCTCCAAGTATTCTTTCCTTTCCCTTTGTCGTTATAATTCGATTTGATAGTTAGTCGAGACTAGAATGCTTGTTCCACTGCTGGTGTTTCAAATTGTTTTATACGCAATTCATGGGACTGTAATGTCCCCAATAGACCTTCTAAGGAGAGTGATGAGAGGTCTTTCGAATCTTCAATGGCCACCACGATGTACTCGAATTTCCGTGTAAGACTTGTTAGAATCTTTTCAACAACTCTCTTATCTTCTACACCTTCACCGTTAAGTCTCATCTGATTCACTAACGCAATTATACGGTTGTAGAAATTTTCAATTGTTTCTGATTCCTTCATCTTTAGGCCATCGAACTCACACCTTAGAGTTTGCAAACGTATCGTCTTTACTCTGTCTTCACCCCTGTAACATTTGTACAGCCCGAAGAGATTCGTTCGAAGATCATCTCCTCCACTACTTGGTAGATAAAAAACAACGCCTTCTTATCCTTCTTCTTGTTATCCTTCATTTGGATGCTCCAGTGATTGGTAATTTCTCCCAATCAACTTTGGAAGACAAGGTTGCAAAAGACTGTTGTTTTTCAAAGCCGTAGACTTTAACAAAAAAAAAATTTGATTATCTATGATCATTCAAGAACCGTAAACATGGCTCTGATACCAATTTGTTGTGGGAAATCAAATAAATATTGTAGGAGTTAAAAGAATTAAAGAGACAAAAGTAACTAATTTATGTAAAAAAAAAATAGATAGAAAAAAGATCAATCTGTAAATGTGTATATAATATATAGGGATGATTTTGGTAAAATGTAGTATAAATATAAATATAAAAATAGATATAGATATAGGGTGGGTGTTTGATGTTCAAAGCAAAGTTGTTGACCATTCTATGTCTCAAACCCCTCCCCCACCATTTTCTATTTACACATGACTGACACACTAACCCTCTCTCCTACATTTGACCATTTTCTTCTCCTTTACAGATTTAAAGTGTTTATCTTTTTCATTTCTTTCTAGTTGCAACACCATCTTTTCTTTTTCTCTCCAGATCTCTCTTCTTTCCCACCCCTTTTTAGCTTTTTGCTCTTCTCCTGTAAATGCAGCTTCAATATTATAGCTTTCTAAATCATTTCCATGGGGAAGAAAGGTGGATCCTCATGGCTCACCGCTGTTAAAAGGGCCTTCCGATCACCTAGCAAAGACTCCGATAAAAAGACTAGAACAAGTCATCATGACCTTGATGACGAACCTGACGACAAGGTTAGTTTCCTTAACTACATTTTCAGTTCGTCTTTCTCTCTTCTACTAACTAATTCAATTAATTAATGCAGAAAAGGGAAAAAAGGAGATGGCTGTTCCGGAAGCCCACAAGCGTACAGGAAAATGCCCAGGCCCAGCCCCAGCCCCAGCCCCAGCCCTCCAAGATCACTAATTTCCGAGATGCCATCACTTGTACACAGCCGCCTCAGGCTTCCGACCAAAACCATGCTGCCATTGCGGCAGCGGCAGAGGCAGCGGTAGCCACCGCAATGGAGGTGGCTCGCCTGAGCAGACCGCCGCCCAAGGAGCACCGTGCGGCTACAATCATTCAAACGGCTTTCAGAGGTTATCTGGTGAGTGTCAAAATACAGATCTATCCATCTTAATTAATTAATTAGGCTAACTAATTGTAGGGCCCTACATTCTTTCATTCATATATATATATATATGATTGATGATGATGCTTTCCTGTGGCTGTTAGTTATTTAAGGATCTATTCCATCAAAAGTTACGGTCTCACTTTCCTGTTAAAGCTTACCATCAACTTGTTTTAGTTCACATTATTAACAAAATGGATAACAGTATATTAAATTAGTTTAATTGTTTTTAATTACTTAGAGATTAGGATTCCATTGCTGGTACAAAAAGGAAAATTCTTAATTATCAAAGACGAACGAATAGTACTTAAATGCTTGCTTACATAGAAGGCCTAGTCCAAACAGTCATAATCCAAGCACATGGGAAGATGGCTGTGAATGCACATGCACCCACCTCCTACTTAAGATCTTTCTTTTTGGAAATGCAAATACATATATATACTTTCCAGAATCAATTGACGTCGATCAATACAAGAAATGTACATAAATTGCATTTCCACTTTGAACAACTATCAACTTCAATGTCAACATATATATTGCAAATTGCAAATCGAAAGATGACTCTTTCATCTCAAATTTTGAAGTCAATGGGTACTATATACCAAACCAAGTTAAATATCGTTTATCGGTTCTTTGTTTACTTTCTCCCATAAAATGCATGTGTTGTACATAGGCGAGAAGAGCTCTTCGTGCACTCAAAGGACTGGTAAAACTGCAAGCATTGGTGAGGGGTCACAATGTGAGAAAGCAAGCCAAGATGACACTCCAATGCATGCAAGCTTTGGTTAGAGTACAGGCTCGTGTTCTTGATCAGCGCATGAGGCAATCTGACCAGTGCAGTAGTCGAAAATCTACATTCAGTGACACCAACAGTGCCTGGGGGGGTTCTCGTTATCATCAAGATATTTCTGACAGGAGATCTATGGTACGCAGTACTATACCCTAAATAAATATATCTTCTTGTTGCGCTTGATAAAGTAACTTACTTTGGGTGGGTTTTTAGTCTCGAGATGGAAGTAGCAGCATTGCTGATGATTGGGATGAACGCCCACACACTATTGAGGAAGTGAAAGCAATGCTTCAGAATAGAGCCGCTAGACGTGAGAAGACCTTGTCTCAAGCCTTCTCGCAAGAGGTTTGTAGACTGCTCCTCTTGTATTAAAATCAAAGAACTGCATGGTCTTTTTTCCATTTAATTAATTTGTTGTTGTTACGATCATGTGAATAAATGAATCTATAGATGAGGAGAAATGGTAGGAATCCATCAATGGGAAGTGATAACGAGCTTCTTGGTGTTGGAAATGGAGAGAGACACCAATGGCTGGATAGATGGATGGGTTCAAAACCATGGGAGAGCAGGCCCATGGCAAGGGCTTCAACCGATCACAGAGATGCTGCTGTTAAAACTGTGGAAGTGGACACCTCTCAGCCTTACTCAACAACAAGCTTACCCCCTAACCATATCAGAAGATCTAGTTATCAATATCAAAGAAATTCCTCTGCTTCTCCTCTCCATAGACCCCAACACCACTACTCCCCTGTAACACCTTCCTCCTCATCCAAAACAACAAAGCCTATCCAAGTCCGTTCTGCCAGCCCTCATTATGAAAGAAGCTATCACAGCACTCAAAGCCAGACACCGAGTTTAAGATCTAACTACAGTTTCAACACGGTGTTACATCATCATCATCAACATCCRAGGGGTTCAACAAGTGGAGGTGCAATGCCTAATTACATGGCTGCAACTGAGTCAGCCAAGGCTAGGGTACGGTCTCAGAGTGCACCTAGACAAAGGCCTTCCACTCCCGAAAGGGACAGATCAGCCAAGAAGCGACTCTCTTTCCCTGTACCAGACTCGTATAGTGGAAATGGACAGAATTTGAGGAGTCCAAGCTTTACCAGTGTGAATGAAGCATATGCCTACATGGTGGAGCAGCAGTCCAATTATACAGATAGCATTGCAGGTGGTGAGGTTTCTCCTTGTTCAACAACTGATCTTAGGCGCTGGTTGCGCTGATCAAATTTAATAAAATCTAACTCTCTAGAACTCAGCTGTTGGATTTGGATTATCTAGTAAAATGATGTGCTAATTTTGACTAAGAGAAAGAGTTTGAAGATCGGTGTGTGATTGTGATTGTGATTGTGATTGTGAGTGTTATTAATTTAATGAAGAGGGTGTGTTGTTGTTGTTGTTGTTGTTGTTGTAGTAGTAGTTTTCAGTTCTTTTTTATGTAAATGCAGTCACATGAATCCTTCCTGCGTAATAATATATATATATATATATATATATATATATATAATATGTAGCCAGGTCTTGGCGGATGGATATGAATTATGATGATGAATTCAAGCAACTTGTTTATTAAATTATGGTTTAGATTCATTTCTTTACTCCAAGACAAACAGTAAATTAAATTCCATGTGGAGGGCACGTTTATCCATGGGTTGGGCAGGCTGTTATTTTGTACATTCCATGTGCAGGATGCAGGGCAGTGAATTATGCAAGTTGAGTGATTTAGATATCATATAAGTAAACTAGTTTTTATTTTAAATATACAATATATAATAATTACCTACTGCTACTACTAGCATCAATATTTGTATTGTATGTAAGGAAATTTGAATTGGTCTAATGGAAGCAATCAAAATATGAACTTTTTCTGTAAAGAAGATCCATCTTGTTTTCATCACTCTCTTATGTGGGTTCTTTTCCTCTAAAAGCAAAAGCAGGAAACAATCGAAACTAATTGGATTCAAATAAAAAAGTATAATTACGAAGGAAGTTGTAAATATACAGAGTTGGGATTGCAAAGTCAGGTATTGTGAATTAGTTGGTGAAGCTGCGTCTCCAATTCATCCAATCTATCCTTCCAATCGCTCTTTATGCACAATGGCTTCACATCGCTGTAATCTGAACATGCATCTCCTTGTTCAGGTTTCATGGTTTTGCTCTTCTTCTTTAACTTCTTGGAGGTTTTCTTGGCACTTGCTTTTTGCAGAGCCAACAATACAACAGATCCGCTGATTTTCGGCTGCTCCTCCAAGTCCCTGATTTCTTCTTGCTTCCAAGTGTTTTGGTTGTCCCTTTCTTCGTCTTCCTCTTCCTCTTCGTCCTCGTCGTAATCGTAGTTGATGTTTTTCCGAGGTCGTGAATACCTGGCTGAGGCTGAGACGGTGAAGGGACCTTGGTTGCGGGTGGCGATGGCGGGAGGCCCAAATCTGCAGGATAGAGTGGCAGTGGACCACATGGCTCTTGGAAGGAAACACAACCCTAACGACTTGTTAATTGCAGATCTATATCGGGGTTTTTGTGTTGCAGTCCAGAGACCCACATGATCTCCTACCCTCACCACTGACGCTCACCAACGCCGATGTAACAAGATTTTTGGAGAGCAAGTTATTTTATATGGTTCTTTATATAATATTAAGATTTAAAATATTAATTAATATATATTTGTTTCATAAGTGTTTGTATCACATATATTCAATTCATAATATAAACATTTTTGTTGTATTTATGAAACATAAAATATACGTAAAAAAGTTTCTAGTTGTAAAACGAATACATATGAAACAAACATGTTATAAAACAAATATATGTTAACTAATACATTAAATACTATAATTAGACTGTAAAAAAAATCATGTGAAACAAAATCTTAAGATAGAAATTCTTACGGATTTCATAAATTTTGCAGTTCTCAAATGATTAAACCTTTAAAAATTAATTTCTAAAAATATAATTTTCTTAAAAAGGTCGAACAAGTTACCTAATACAATTCTTTGTTACGACTTTTTTATTTCATGGAGTCGGTTTATTACATCTTCATTGGCACAAGCTTTTCTTTTATGACACAAAGGAAGCATTTAAAAAATCTATCGCCAAAATTTAACAAAAATATAAACAAAATATCACTAAGTAAGTATTAACAAAACTACAACCAAATTAACTTTAAATACAAATATTTGAGTAAAAGGTTGATCATCATTTGAAAGCCACCCCCTAGCAGAGGGGTTCAAACTGTCTTTCTGAGGATTCGGACGAGACACTCTTATGGTTTTGAGGTTTTTTGTAACTCTCTTAATGTAACATATGTATTGATGTATAGATGATCCTCCCATTACAAAGAAGACACTCTTTCAAAGATATAAAGTCTCCACTTTAATCTCTTCGGTTCATAAACAAAAATATAAATCTTTATATGTACTCCTATCCATAATACAAAATCTGCATCCATGTCTACAAACTCTTCTTTGATCAAAGATAGTGTGTCAACTTCTGCAATGGCAAATATTAGTACATATATATAATCAGATGTCTTCAACTAATCAAGAACATAAATACATGAAGCAATATCTTGAACCAACCAATCAAATCCCTCCAACAGCCCCTCTTCGGTGTATGCACTGCAGTCTACAATCCTCCAACGGTGGATATGATCCATGGGGTCCAAGAAAGCTAAAATCATCACAAAAAGGATATCAAGTAATTTAACCGAGAGCTAAAGATTGTAACACTTTCAACAGTCACCTCAATTATTCATTGAACAAGAAATTTGGATCAGCATACATTTATTGTGGTTTAAGACATGCATTTTGAACGTTTGTTGCATAGTTTTGGTGCTTTTATAGCTTATTTGTTTCTAGTTACACTTCTTTAATCATCCATACTAAATAGCTAGAAAGTCCCTACAAATTCGTAAAGAAGTTTATATCAATATAGAAAATGCATAATAAAGAACACTTACTTTAGCTATTTCATCAGGGGAAAGAGCATCCTCTATATCCTGCTTGTTACCCCTGGATGGCTTGATGATTCTGGGTGCTTTGTTGCAAAAACGAGTAACAATGCATCTGACAGCCTTTGAATCAACATCACAAGAAAAAAAAGAACCTTATACAACACCATTGATTTTGATGTTGAAGCTAAGAGTAGGGTTGATAACACTGGTATCTTCACAATTGATATTCAACACTATTGTTGTCTTCCTCGAATTGTCAAGTCCCCTCTTGATTAATATAGTAATTATACAACTATATAACCAGGCAAAACAAATACATACACTATGAGTATGCACATTTCTTTTTCTGTTGTATCACTCTGATCTCAAAATGATACTTAGTTTAATCTTCTATGTCAAGTACTCTGAGTCTCCGATCACCATATATTGGATGGGCCCATTAGCCTTATGTGTTTTCAAATCGTATACATATCGGGTATTTTGTATCATAAGACTCGCATGATAAATTGTGGCAAAAAAAATCTCTTTTGTTTGGGCCCATGTGAAGTTTAAATGTGAGTAAGCCTAATTTGGTTGAGTTTGGCCCGTAAGCCCAATATATAAGGAGGTTTTTAGTCTAATTTCTAACATTAAACGTTGTTGAGTCCTTTTAATAGAAAAAAATATTTTGAGAGAAAAAAGGATCTACACTAAGATATTGGGTTGTTCTCTAATGGCTCATTTTGGTTGTGATGTGTTATAATAGGTTGTAATGAGCGTTGAGAAGTTCTAACAGATTGTCATGGATTGCGATGGGTTTTTCAGATTGTCATGAAGATCTACTGGATACTAATAGGTTGTCGTTGGCCTCGATAGATACTAATGGGTTCCTATGGCCCTAATGAGTTCACAGGGCAATTATGGGTTGTAATAAGCTCTAAAAGGTTTTAATGGATTTTAATAGGTTCCAATAGTCCTTGAGAGGTTGTAATAGAATGTCTTCCAAAGTGTTCATATTTATTTGGGAAAAGTTTAAAAAACCCAATAGACTTTAGTGTTTGAAATGATTAAGTTCTTGAACAATTTTTAAAACAAATAAGTCCTCGGACATTCCAAAACTTATTAAATAACTCATTGGACATTCTAAAACCTGTTAGATACATCTTTATGACCTATACAACTGGTTAGTGTGATAAAATAATGAAAAAAAATATGAAAAAAAGCCAATAAACTTTTATATTTTGAAAGATTAAGTCTCTAAACAATTTTTAAACCAAAAAGTACTTATATCTATAAAATGAAATAAATATACCATAAAAATATTTACATTTACAAAAAATTACTTATATTTAAAATATATTATTGATGAAATATATTTTAATTAAAAATAAAATATTTTCTGTTAATAACTTTTCAAATTAAAAAAAATAAAAAAAAGATTTAAAAAAGAATACGTTGTTGATTTTTCAAATAAAAAAAATAGAAATAATTTGATTCAATTACTGACCGGATTAACGATAAAATTTAACTAAATACATAATTAAATAAAATTCGTCACTAATCCGTTGGTGAAATGATATCACCGACAATATTCAAGTACGATCTTTCACACTTATTAACATGTTACGGTGTTATAGCGTCTAATGGTGGTCAAGTTAACCATCAATTAGATATAAGTAATCCATGCATATATACCAATGAACATTAGCGATGAATTTTAATTAATTATGTATTTAGTTAAATTTTATCGTGAATCCGTCAATAATTTAATCAAATTATTTTCTATTTTTTTTATTTGAAAAATCACCAACATAATATATACTATTTTTAACTAAAATAAATTTCATCAGCAATCCTTTTTAAATCTTTTTTTAATTTTTTTAATTTAAGAAATCATATATGAAATATATTTT